CTCAATTGTGAGTAATGCGTTACACGTGTTCTGACATGTCAAAGCTATGCCAAGTTTGTTAGGTGGGGTAGTGGGGTACCACAGCCCCTGCTTGCAGTGTGGCGCACTTCGTTAAGCACCGTATCATCTCCACCATGTCCCGTCTTCTGTCGCACACCGATGCCCAGCCGCGGTCCGAACTCACAAATCACATCGGTGGTATATTGGCATGCATCGCTGTTATATGATGGGCAGCGACATGCTTACACACGTCCTTCTATTTCGGGTACCTAGCGACCGCGCCGCTCTCCTACCGCGTGTGGCGTGGGAGCGCGCTATACTGGTTGTCAGCGACTACGCCTGCAGCATGCCTGTAAACGCGGTACCACCTACCCTGAAAGAATGATATTCCCGCGACTACTCCACCGGCACTAAGCTTCTCGAAGCACATAGGCTACCGTCGGGCGTAGGGCGGAAAAAAGTCCAAGGTTCGTGCAGCTCAATCAGCATGAAGTCCAATATGTTGTGGACGTACTTCCTCGGTCTCGTCCCAAAAACTGAATTCCTTCCTACTTGGTAGACCGTCGTTCGTCGCTGGTACAAGTAAGGTGACCTCAATATGACGTTTCTAGCATCGACACCTCTTCTCATCGTCGTCGGTACTATCGTATTCTACACACTCAGCCGCTTCTTCTTGCGTAAGAACAATTATGATCTTCCGCTCCCTCCTGGTCCTAAAGGCATTCCTCTCATTGGCAACATCAATGACTTACCGAAGCCTGGAATCCTCGAGTGCCATCATTGGCTCAAACACAAGGACCTCTATGGTCCTATAAGCTCGGTCACGGTTCTAGGTCAGACCTTTGTCATCGTCAACGATGCGAACATAGCAGTAGAGCTTCTGAGCAACAGAGCGGCGACCTACTCGGGGAGGCCACATATGGTGTTCAGTGGAGACATGTACGCACCTGGCGCCTATAAGGAGCGATGAAATGGCTGACGAACAAGCAGGATTGGCTGGACCAAGACGTTGGCGATGCATCAACCCGACCAGAACTTCAAACACCATCGTCGCAATATCGCGAAAGTAGCCAGCTCCAGCACGTCTCTTGCCGTCTTTGATCGCGTCCAGAACGAAGAAGCTGCACATTTCCTCTTGAATGTCATGGAATCCCCGAGCGACCTGTTTGAACACATCAGGAAAGAAGCAGGTGCTGTCATCTTGAGAGTCACATATGGCTACACGCCGAATGCGAAGGGACCGGATCCGCTCGTAGATATAGCAGGCCAAGCGATGGCTGAGTTTGCTGACGCAAGTGTGCCTGGAAGATGGCCGGTAGACGTCATGCCTTTCTGTAAGCTTGCCCCCGTACCATTAGGCTACCATGTATGCAGTATCGCGCGCTGACTTCGAAAAGTACGTTTCCTCCCAGACTGGTGTCCAGGTACCGGCTTCAAGCGTACAGCTCGGCAGATGGCAGAGACCTTGATACGCACGGCCGAAGAGCCCTACGCTTTCGTCAAATCGCAGATGCGTGATAAGAAAGCGAAGACATCCTTCCTCTCTCAAGCCATCGAATCGCTCGGCTCAGATGCGTCTATGGAGTACATCAACAAATGGTCCGCTGCATCCATGTACCTGGGTGGCGCAGACACCACCGTCTCGTCGCTGATGACGTTCTTTCTGGCCATGGCCGTCTTCCCAGAAGTTCAAAAGAAAGCTCAAGAGGAGCTGGACCGTGTGATCGGCGGAGAGCGACTCCCGATCACTAGCGATAAAGCAAGCTTGCCGTATATTGAAGCCGTGGTGAAGGAGACGCATCGATGGCATCCGGTGGGGCCTATGTCAATACCCCATTCCTGCACGCAAGAGGACAGCATCAATGGGTATAGGATACCGAGAGGAGCGATGATCTTGCCTAACAACTGGTACGTATAATAGTGCGAGAAGCAGACGTATTCGTGGCTGACAGCATGTAGGTGGTTCACACACGACCCAAACGTCTACCCCGATCCCATGACCTTCCGTCCCGAACGCTACGTCACGACACCAACCCATACCGCGGAGCCCGATCCACGTACATGGACATTTGGCTACGGGCGTCGGGTTTGCCCTGGACGTTATGTTGCAGATAACGCTCTTTTTGCGACGATCGCGCAGTCGCTGGCTGTCTTCAATGTCGAGAAGCCTGTCGAGAACGGAAAGATCTTAGAGCCTAGGGTTGAGTTCGAGCCTGGTGTGATAAGCCATCCAAAGCCGTATCGTGTGAACATCGTACCGAGGAGTGAGAAATGCAGAGAGTTGGTCAAGCAAGCGGAGGAGGTGTACCCATGGGGCGAAAGTGATGCTGAAGTGTTGAAGAATCTGAGCTAGATGCGAATGGTCGAAGTGGAAAAACGCCTTCCGAGGTGGAGAACTTAGTTCAACATGTACTCATCGCGCGAGTGCGGAAGTCGCGTCCAAGCAGACGGACTTGGCTGTTCACGCGTAATCATTGGATGGTGCCAAGGTATGCACTCCCGCTGTAGATAATTCCACGTATAAGACACTTATAGTGTGGTAATTACTGCAAGCCAAGAATGATGGGAATTGGTTCTGGGTACGGCATATGAAGTTGTTGTGACTGCCATTCGGGAAGTGGAGGATGTCCTATCCTTCTCTGGACAAGCGTTCCCGAACTCGAGCCGCAACCCAGGTTAAACAAACGCGTGCATGCACGCGCGCGTCACCAACAGAAAAAGAGGCTGGCAGCTACCCCGGCTTTCACGCATCTACCCCAGTAAATTCCCCGCATACAGTGCAGATCTCCAGCGAAGATACCAAAAAATTGACCGAGGCCATGCTTTTCAATTGCCGCATGACGTCCCAGTCAAAATCTCCGTTGCCGGCGATGCCCATAAACAACGCGCAGACGGTCTTCAAGCTATGGCAGCGACGATCCAACGCCCACCATGTTACCCTCAATCAAGCGCTCTCTTGCTGTTGCAGCTCTCGGTGCTTTTTTAAAGGCCGAGGCTGCTCACATCTCATCCAGGACAAAACCAATTGCGATTCCAAAGTCTGCACCCAATGATGCCGGTGTTCCCTTGGACTCTTTCGTATCGTACTCGTTTGAGTTCTCGTCATGGCCGGATTTTGCTGGTATGTCTCCTGCGATATCCCAAATGTTCACGACAGCTTGACTGACGATCACTGCTTCTAGGCAATCTATCGCATCCCAATGCCTTTTCATACAACCTCATGAGCAACCTTGGCAAGCTGCAAGGCTCAATGCCGATTGCTCGCGTCGGCGGCAACACACAGTAAGACGTCCCCTTCATCGCGATCCTAGATACATGTAGCTTACTCAACAATTAGGGATATCGCCATCTTCGATGAATCGCTCGAGACCAGCATCGTCGGCATCATTCGCCCAAACATCTCCGCCGATTACCCGACCATCATCACCATTGGCCCATCCTACTTCGAGTCCTACAAAACCATGCCTAAAGGCACGCGATTCGTACACGGCTTCAACATGGGCGCTAACTCCAGCGCTGCAAGGACCGCGACATGGGCATCAGTTTCCCACGCCTGCAAAGCGATAGGAAGCGACCTGCTGTTCTGGGAATACGGCAACGAGCCCGATCTCTTCACTGCTTCTGGATACCGAAACGACAGCTGGGCCGAGGTGGACTATGTATCTGAGTGGCTGAACGGTACGACTGCCATTGAAGAGGCCACCAAAGCAGCATGCCCAGATCTCGCTGGCACCAAGTTCATGGCACCGAGCTTTGCAGGCATCGGAGTCAACGACTACTTCAGATTGGACCCCGTTGAAGTCTTCAAGCAGGGTTTGGACGAGAAGCAAAACATCGGCCTGATCGCTTCGCACAACTACATGGGTGTCTCTACGAATCCTGGCATCACGTTGCAAGGCACATTGATGAACCACAGTAGTGTACTCGCCAAGGCAGACGAACAAATCGGTGTGAAAGATGGCATCAAGGCGCTAGGAGACGCGCTGGCCCCAAACGTCCCCTTCGTCATGGGCGAACACAACTCGCTCGCCCGACAGGGACGACCTGGTTTGAGCAACAGCTTCGGTGCTGCGCTGTGGGGTGTAGACTGGAACACGTATCTCGCGTCGCAGAACCTTACTCGCTCTCACATGCACCAAGGAACAAACTACCGGTAAGTTCGCATCCCTCCAGCATGAAACCGTTCGTAAACTAACAACATCCTCAAAGCTACCAATCCTGGCAGCCAGTCGAGACGAACCTCACAGCAAGAGGCACCAAGCCGCCATACTACGGCAACGTCGCCGTCGCAGCCTTCATGCACAAACCCTCATCCGAGTCTGAACTCAAGATCTCCTCGCTGCCCTCATCTTCCATCTACACAACCCAATACGCCGCTCACGTCGACGACACGCTCGCACGCATTCTCCTCGTTGATTTACACACGTACAACACAACCGCCGACAACAATTACACCACACCGTTCGCACGCCCAGTGGAGAAGTACTCTTTCCAGCTACCGAGCGACTGCAAGGGTGAAGCTCAGGTGCAAAGGCTGTTGGCCAATGGAAGTGATGCTATCACCGGTATCACGTGGGATGGGTATAGTTACAACTACGAGCTTGATGAGGGGAAGCCTGTGCGCATGGATAATGTGACGTGTGGGGAGAGTGTGAAGGTGGATGGGAAGGGTATGATTAGTGTGGAGGTGCCGTGGAGTAGTGCTGCGATTGTTAGTCTGGACTGCTGAGATATGTTGCGTACCTCGAGCAACCGAGTATGACTAATGAGAAATCTATCCACTTTGTATCTCGTGGCGGTACACTTCTCAGTGATTAAAGATGATGTTCGATATGGACTCCGCATGTTGGGCTAATCCCTGCGGTTGAACTCGGCGACGACTTCACATCCACAACCGGGGTTCGGCTGTGCGGCTTGTACCCAAGCACACGGGCTTTCGCAATAGCAAACCGGCGGGCTAAGCAATATTAGTGCGACGAAACGACGAACACTGAGTGTACTCACAACATTGCGGCAGGCGTAGCCTTGATCTCCGCAACCTTCTCCGCAAAGTCCCGCCTGACACCATGCTTGAAATCCTTCCATATGGATTCCCACTCCCACCTCGTACTATTCTTCACATCTCCACTCACACTCACCATCGGCACATTCCTGCCTTCCTCATACCCCAGCACAAACTTCTCATACAACAGCGTGAGAAACCAGTCCACCCACATTTTCTGACACAGAATAAGGACGGGATCAGATTTGAACTGCGTGACTGAATGCGTTCCATCGCCGAAGAATTGGAAAGGAAGGGAAGCTTGGAAGTGCAGGTCAAGGTAGTCGATGGTATTAATATCCGTCAAGACACGCAGGCTATTCCCTTTCCCAGCGGGAAGTGGCGCGAATGCCAGTTCAGCGGTAGTTTTATACCCGAGAAGACGGAGGTATGCGCGGTCGCTGAAGTTCAGCGAGACCCGACGAAGTGTGTTGAATGGCATGGTGGAGAGGTGGGGTATCGTTCGGATTAGCGTTGCCATGTTGCCGAAGTTTTTGGTCGTGCTTTCCCAGAGTGTCGTGCGGGCTTCGAGGCTGAAGGGCTTGCTGACGAGGAGGAGGGTTTTGATCCAGTGGGTGGAGGAAAGGGTTGAGCCGTAGGGACGGTAAGATTGGGGGTGCTGGCAGGATACGTTTTCTCGGAGTCGCGGCGCGTTGATGGATAGGCCCCGTGGCCAGGTGTTGGGGTTTGGTTTCGCGTCTTCTGGGGATGTGGGAAGTGGTGGGTTGTTTTGATCGTGTTGTGATGCAGGTGCTGTATTGTGTGCATGGAGGCCAGCGTTCCGAGGTGTTTCCGACTCTTCAGCGACTCGATAATCAGGCCATAATACCGGACCGATCGATGCTTCGAAGACCATAAACCGCAGTTCGAGCGGAAGGTCCATGAACCGAAACGAAGTATGATAAAGATCGAACCACTCATCAAGTAGGCCACGATGCGTGACGTCCCCACCATATTGCTTTATCAGCCACGATCTGGCAGGTATGAACACGCTCTCGGTCATCTCAGGAGTCTGGATATCGAGCTCCGGCTCGCCGTTGACGAACTTCCACCGCGTAACTATGTCATGCCTGGACGCACTCCCGTCTGACCCTGTTTCGAAAATGGTGAAGTTTTGAACAACACGTTTAGCATGGTGAACAGGACGAATACCAGCGCGTCGCTCGATTCGAACGCCCTGTGTATTCGTGTAGATGTTGAAACTATTCCGGCGCTCTTGATTCAGCACGAGTCTTAGTTTTGGCAGTGCATCTGGTAAGCTTGTGAGCTTTTCCTGCTTCTTACGTCAGTCTCGCTTTGTAGAAGGACCGACTGCGCGATCGCTCACTTGTACAGGTCTCGGCGGTTCAGTACCGGGAGGAACCCGGGTTCTGTCGACTACCAATTGACTGGCATGATTGGGGCTCTGCCAATATGGGGCGTGGACGGACCACGCTTCTGACATTCTTTGAGGATTTAATGATGAATGCGTGTCTTGGGTGTCAAGAAAGTACGGTAATGCGCATCGTATACATCCTCATCTATGGGTGGAGTGGCGGTGTGGTGGCGTCCTTTCTGTGGGTAGTGGCGGGTCATCATCCACTGTGAGCTTTGACCACGCCCCGCACTTCCCGCACCGCGACCTCAACACCGGCGCGCTATCGTGATGGTGGTGTACTGAGAGGAATCGACCACGACATGACTGAACACCGCGGGGCCTGAGTTCCTACCGTATCACTTCCACGCGGATCAAATACACGAGAAAACAGGTCCTCCGCCTACCTGCGGAATCCAGGCGGGTTCGCTCAAGTGTGGTGCCAACAGCTCAGATTGCTGCCTAATTGAAATTCGAGAATCTTGAAGCAGCGCTTACCGTTTTGCGTAGTGTGGATAGTTGCTGCAGGCTCAGTTCCATGGAAGCCTTCAAGGTCGCGCCAAACATGGGAAACCGTACGTGGCCTCAACTGCAAGCTTTGTATTGCGCATCATCCTTTACCTTTTAAACTCGAACCAAGCCGCGAAATTATCACCAAATTTCCGCCCAGCTCTACACAACTCTCTCAACACAATCGCCACCCTGCGACACCAGCCACTGAGGCTCTCAGACCCGCCCAACGATCCCGCCTTCAAGCATGCCGTCCTTGCTAACACTCCCACGCGAGCTGCGCGACCTCATCTACGAGTACTACCTTCGTTGCGATGGTGGTTACATATACCGCGCGGAGTCCCAAAGGATGAGGCAGACAAACGGGAATGCGGTTTGTCACGCACTGGCCCTTACCTGTCGACAGACCGCGTCCGAACTTGAAGGTCTAGCTTTCAATCTGAACGCCATTACCTTTTCGGCTACGTATTCGGAATCTTTGCATGAGCAAGCGGCGCTTCATCATGCCATTGTCCTCATGCTCAAAACTTCGAAAAGAGGTTTGCTGGAACAGATAGCTCCCAAGCTGTTCACACTCGAAATGGCCCAGCGAGCTAGCGAAGCCTACCCACAGTTCGCTGGACTTATCGATACCTGGGTGACCCAGAACGACATGAGGTCACTTTGGGGATATAACAACACTTTCGGCGAAGCTGCGTCCATTTGGGATGACTTTGTAGAATGCATTCTGGATCTGGTCTCAGAACACCCCGCCTATACCGAAACTGTCAAAGCTATACCGTCTGGCCTCGGAGGCGTAGAAAAAGGCCGCGATGCATTGCAATTGAAGGGCCTACGCCTCCACCCTTGGCTCGTTGTCGGTCTGTCGGATCTCAAACGCATGTCGAACGTTATACTTAGTACTTCCGGAACACCGCGCTATTACAAGAAGACGCGATATGCCTATTCCGCGGCTGCTTTGGCACTACAATTTCTGGCCTCGTTATCCAAAACAACTCGACTATCCGTCCGGAAGATCGTACTCGAGGAAGATCATGTATCAGTAGCGCGGCCAGAATCTCACGGCCGAGGTTTCATAAGCGTATGCCAACAGAACAGGAAACTCCAGGTTGAGCGCCGTGTACATCTGTGGACTACGGTATTCCCAGTCCGATTAAGTGAACGCTCTCGATACATAGGCGGTGCTGAGCATGACATGGACAGCAGTGGTGTTCAGGGTGATCGCTTGCTTGCGGTCGACGTTACGCGATCAGTGGGGAGCTGGATAATCGAGGCAATGATGTTGCCTACTCTAGGAATGCCCGATGGTTCCTACTCACTAGTTCTAGATGGCAATCCTCTGCCAGAGCACACATCCAAGATATTTCGAATCCTCCAGCGCGATGCCAGCTGGCGCATAGCCGTGGACACCCTCTATGACAAGGGTCACTTCCCAGATACGTCTTGGGAACGGCGACGTGGTCATCCCGGCTTCCTGTATCGAGGCCTCCCCCACGTCATCCGCACGCTCTCGACCGAGGCCTCCCCCATTCGATGCAACTTCAATCCTGGGCCACTCTTTGATGTCAAAGATATGTTAAAAGACCGTCACTGGTGGTCATTGAAGGATTGGGAGCGTGACTGGCCAAGGCACGAAGTTCGCGAATTTCAAACCAAAACGCCGTTGCCGCCGTGGCATGTTCTCCATTGGAAGCGAGTTCTACCCGGTGCCTCCATCTGAGGTATATAGCTATAGCCAGGACATGTCACTCATAATCATGGTTGTCTTCTAGAAATCGTGGGCGAGATCGACGGAGTCAGTCCCATTATCTACGGTTTATGTCAATTCGTAAAATGTTGATGTGAACGCTCGTTCGCGTTGTTTTGAGCATGCAAGTAGACTACATTTGCTTTAGGCGGACCGCATCGCATTGCGAAGTAGCCAACTGAGACCCGGACTGGTCGGATGCGTTCGTCGCATTGACGGTGCTGAAGACAGCTGTTCATCGTACCTGCACTGATTGAAGAGACAGTGCCGTCGGTGGCCATGGTCGTAGAAAGCCTGCTGCTGTGTGTCAAAAAGCGCGAGAGCACGCGCTGCGATTTCGTAACTCTGAACAATGAAGCTTCTAGATTGGTAGTTGGTGAGTGTCCATAGGCGCGACGCGTGTGTGATGTCAGGTGCTAGCGCGATGTTGCAAATCGCGTCGCCCGAGCGTTCGTCAGCCTTCCGGAATGTTCTACGTCATCTTCTTATCTACCACAGCACCCCGAACAACGCCTTCACCAGTCCACGAAACGCAATACCACTTAGGCACTGTCATAGTCGTCTACAAAGCTCCTTCAATATGGACGTCGAACTGTATGTGTATGACCTTTCTCAAGTAAGTGGCTGGAGCAGATGCACATGCGCCATCTTTCGCGACGCTTTGCAGACGTGTTCAGAGCTGATGGCATCTAGGGTCTTGCGCGAAGCATGTCGCGACAATTCTTGGGCATTCAGGTAAGCCATATATCTTCCAATACTGGGTGCATCCGCTGACACATCCTTCCGAACAGATCGATGCCGTATATCACACCTCAATCGTACTCGACGGCATAGAATACTACTACGGATCAGGCGTGCAGACATGTCGGGCGGGCACTACTCACCATGGCCGGCCGATGGAAGTAATCAAACTGGGGCAGACTGCGCTTCCCATGGAGGTCATATTAGAGTACCTCGAGTCTCTCAAGGAAATATACACGGCCGAGGTATGGTCCCGTTTAGCGCTTTTGCGCAGGCTATGCTGACCGTCAACCCAGTCCTACGATCTTTTCGCCCACAACTGCAACAACTTCTCGAACGACTTCGCCATGTTCCTTGTCGGCAAAGGAATACCAGACCACATCACTTCCCTCCCTCAGACCGTCCTGAACACGCCGTTCGGACAGATGCTCAAACCGCAAATCGACGCCGCTATGCGACCCATCGTCCAAGCGCCCACACCGCAGCCGGTACAACCGCAAGCCCATACGAAAGCGTCGAGCGCAAATACATCCAATGGGGTCTCTTCTGGGGGTAGTGCTTTGGAAATGAACACGGGCCGGGTCAACAACATAACAACACTGAAGGATGTAGACCGCCTTCTCGACCTCGCCAAAGACCGTTGCGCCATCATCTTCTTCACGAGCTCCACATGTGCGCCATGCAAGCTGGTGTACCAACCGTATGACGACCTCGCCGCCGAGACTGGCACCAAGTGTGTCTTCATCAAAATCGACTTCAGCCACGCCGATCGCTCCATCAACGCCCGCTATCCCGACGTTCGCGCGACCCCAACATTTATAACATACCTCAAAGGCGAAAAGCGAGACGAATGGAGTGGAGCTGATCCCAGGCAGCTGCGGAACAACGTGGAGATGCTGGTCAACGCCGCGTTCCCAGCGCACCCACATCTCGAGAAGAGCACACCCATGCTGTTGCGGCAAAGTCAAAGGCCTGTCAAGTTTACCAAGGTGCCGCCACTAGAGAAGCTCGTCGCGAAGATGGGAGATGCAGGAAAGGAGCCAGCTGTGTCGTCAGTTGTATCTTTCATACAGACCCGCGAACAGTCTGGTGCTATAGAAGCACCTTTAGGGGATTTGCCGCAGTTCGCCAGTTTCCTGAGGAACAGCGCCTCAGTTCTCCCACCAGAGCTTCTATTCACGGCCCTAGATCTGCTCAGGGTGGCCTTAACCGACGTGCGCGTGGCCGGCTTCTTCGCGGAAGAACACAAGGGAGCAACTGGCACACCGGCCACTATACACCATCTGCTGGACCACGTCGACAAGCTCGGCGATTCCGCGCCTTACCCTCTTAGACTTACGACACTGCATCTCGCATGCAATCTCTTCTCATCGCCACTCTCCATACCGCACCTCCTCTCTCCCCCGCTCTCATCAACGCTAATCTCCATCCTAACAACCGCGCTCCTCGACGAGAAGCACCCCGCGCTCAAAGCCTCGGCTCTCAGCCTAGCCATGAACATCGCGTCTTCGAACCACCAAATTCGCATGAAGAAGCACAGCGCAAACCCGTCGGCCTCGTTATCTTCACAGACCGAACTGCCGGACGCGGAGCAGGGTGAGCTTCTGGCGTCGCTACTGGAAAACATTGGCACTGAAGAGCAGTGGAGCGAGAACCAGAAGATGGGTGTCATATGTGTTGGCTGGTTGGTGTATGCCGCGGATATGCAGGGTGAATTGAGGGATACGTGGAAGGTTATGGATGCGGCGGGTACTATTGGGAACGTTCAGGCGAAGGCTGGGGAGGATAGCTTGATGGTCAAGGAGGTTAAGGGGTTGTTGGAGGTATAGCTGTCGGCATACGAAATATATCGGAGTACTTCAATCGCCGAAATCTTTCCCCATCCAGACAAGAGTCTCGCTGTCTGCCTTGCATTTGACGTATTGCTCCAACTCAATATACAAACCGGCCTGGCTGGTATCGAGGGGTGCGACATGTAAAGTGATCGTTGGTGCAGATGTCACCTCCAAGCTCCTGTAATTCAAAACTATGGGCTACAGCGCACTTGGGCTGTTGGGAAGCATCAAGTCCGGACTACCCAGCTGGGGGTTTGATGAGGACATGTCGCAACGCACGACGGTATCTCGAGTTCGGTGGTAGATTCGTGGATCAACGCCAGAACCAGACCGCAGTCTAGGTCGAAGGCGCACACTATTATTATGAAACGACACGAATGCGCGTAGTGACTGTGAGGTTTTTGAGAACACAACCGCATTGAGTCTAGTTCCCTCAATCACGTGATGTCGTCGTCACTCCCGCAGCGGTTGACAGGGTGCCGCGGCATCGGTGCTCACCGCATCGCACGAACCTGCGACTCTTAAACTTCATCGCAAACAAATGCATGTCCACGGAAGCGTCTTCATGATGCTACATCCCTTAGTTGCTGTTCGACACATGACCTCTCGTCACGATTCGAGGGTTAGTTGGTGGAAGCCGCTTCCCGGCATTTCCTTGCTGTCTGTTCTTCTCCGCTACCAGGTATCGTAACTAGTCATGCGACTCTCGGCCTTTTATATATTGGTAGGATCGTTACCCCCAAAGGAATAGCACAAAGCTGCCAGCCGGACTGTGAGCTATTTCGAACGGAGTCGTTGTTTTGCAACCTCAATTAGCACCTCAGAATCGCCCTTCAAGGTTAAGATTTATTCTCGACCGCGCAAAGTCGAGTGAGGAGCCCATGGGATCATTTTATGAGATGTTGCAGTCAATCGAAGGCTATCCTGAAGATCACAGGGTGGACCCCTTTGATCCGGACGACTTCGGAGAAGACACTCCAAGTCAGGAACCCGAACACACCATCACGACCGTAAGATGACGATTGTTAGGATACTTCGGCATCATCGAGCAGGCAGCTGACATTACCAGGTATCGACACACGGCTACACAAAAGCTTTCTACACGCTCGCTGGCATTATACACGAAGAGCGATCTGAATGCTTCACCTTCTTCGGTAACACGGACGATATTCGCATCATACCCCGATCGCCTACGAAACATGCCGTCGAGTTCTTTGAGCTCGTGACACCAACTGACGAGAACGGTCACGCGTCCTTATATATTAGTACCCGATGGAAGCTGTTGTATGGCAACAAAGAGCTTTACATCCACCGCTACGCTGATAATCGGTCCTCATGGACACCCGCCAGGCAATGGCTGAAACAGTCTTACGGCAAGACCGTACGTAATACTGGCCTCTGGTCGGACTACGTCCGCTTAGGACAGAAGTTCCCCTTCATGCGCCTACCGAAAGAGCTTCGCTACATGGTCTTCGAAGCTCTAGTAGGACCAGTCCTGCGGCCCCGCATCCGTGAATCGCCGTTTAGCTGGAGGCCAATAAGGCTTTTAAGAACACCTGAAGGCGAGCTGATAAGGGAGGGAACGTCCACGCCTGATGAGTCGCAGAATCCCATAGATCCCCGTCTCGTTTGGCCTTCGAGGCTGGATGTCGAGGGCCCGGAATGGGATAGGGTGTATACACGTGCATCCTGCTGTTCGTTCCAATGCCCGTGTGCACTGCAACATCAGCAACACAGCAACGTTGTACCGCTATTGCTAGTCAGTAAGACGTTCTCGATCGAGTTTCAGCAGATCGCATGGGTGACTACCACCAAGCACTTTGACCGCGTCTACGACATTGTTGAGACCATCCCAAAGATGCAGACTCTTCCTTTCATGGCCCTTCGCCGGATATCCCTTAAATTGACGAATCTAGACTACTTCCGGCTACTAAATTACAGAGATGGCCCTGCAGAAGACACGGGCCCACTAGCGCTGGAGATGCTCATGGGGTTGGAAAATCTGCGGTTTTTGGAGATCGAATTTACGACCGGTCCGCCGCGTCTAGGTCACATTCGAGTTCTTAATAAAGGATGGGCCGATCCATTCTCTGTGTATGAGACCTCATGCCAAGCTGTACTGGTTGACTGGTTCTTCATGGGGCTGTACATGAAGTTCGTACAGGCGAAGACGGACACTCGCCTCGTCCCGCACATCACGTTCACTGGCCATGTCAAGCATAGTACCCGCGCTAAATGGGAGCCGATTTGGCAGAGTTTAAAGTGGGGTGTTCGCCACGACTTCTCGCGCAAGATCGAAATGATCATTTCGACTCCTGTCGGGCAACTGTGAGTAATATTGTTCTGTGACGGGTCACATCACTAACTCGAATATAGACCACCTCGCTGTTATTGTCCCAACCGGTGCGACTTCTGGAATGGTCCTGACGAAGGAGTCCGTAGGTTCAAATGCGGAGACTAGCGCGAATAGGTCTGGCGTTTTGATCGCACGCAAGGGATGACGAGTAGACCATGTAATTGGAATTGATGTTATTGACTGCTATAGAAGATGATCTAGCCCAGACATGCAAGCAGCAAAGCCATTCCTACATGCCTACTAGTAGCTATGAAGAACAGAATGCTAGTGCGGATGCGAGTATATTCAGCCAAATATGCGTTGATATCGTAGGGTGTGCCATTGTGCCATCGGTGCTTCGGTCTGGTATTCGCCCGGCTCGTGAGTATCCCAATTCTCGGCCCACTCTAGAGGCGTCCACGTGCGACGCTCTTTGAGCATGTCAGCGACTACAAGGGGCGAGCCGGGGTCGAAGTTGCAGGTAATGAGTGATTGTGGATCTGACATTGTTCCAACAATATCTGGAAGTCCTTCGTATAAGTATCCAACACGAAGACGTCGCTCCAGCCAGGAAGGCGTAGGTAACAAGCCACGAGAGTAAGCTTCGTCAAGCGCAGATTGCCAAGCGATGTCTCGTTGCACCGCCTTGAACACGTCGGAAGTATGGTCGCCGGTAGGCTCACCATCCAAAACGAGGCGATATGATCCGTCCGGCATACCAAGTGAGGGCAAAGCCATCATCTCCGCCATCCATGATCCAAGGGCCTTCGATATGAATTTGGGCAGCAAACGGTCTCTCGAGAGATCGTAATCGAGGTCGGGATATTGGCTTGCCAGCATGTACTTGGTTCTCATCTCAGGCGAGACTGGGAGCGCATTCTGCCAAAGACTTACAACGCACTTGACGCGAAGCTTTGGATTGGACTGGCAGAACTCGATGAACCCTCTCCCGTGACACTTTGCGTACGCCACGGATTCGCGATCTTCAAGAAGAGTGATGTTCTGTATCTCACTACGCAACGTGTTAGGCAGCATGCGAAGAAAGTAAATCGCGGTGGAAGCTGCAGAGTACGTGTACTTCGTGCCGGGTTTGTAATGCGGTAGCGTGGCTTTGACGTTGAAGATGCTTGCCAGTCGCTCCAGCTCGGTGGGATCAGGAATCAACCAGGGTTTTGGTGACGCATCATTCAACTGAGTGGCGCGGCAGTTGCCATCTGGACCCCAAATTCGGGGTATAGCGGAAGCTTTTGAGACGAATAGAGGATGCTTTGACATCAGATCTAAAACGTGGTGTGTGAATTCTACCCAGACAGACGGGGCCTCTCCACAGTAGAAGTCCTTCTTGTAAAGGATAGGGATGTCGGTTTGTGGCACCCAACCGTTGAATACCGGTGCAAATTGCGGATACGCTTTGGCAGCTAGTTCCACCATGTCGCGGGTGAGCAGCTGAGATACAAGCGAGCGGATCATGACCTGCTTTCGGCGCGTGATACCACCCACTGTAGCATGGAATATAGCCGCCGCTTTCTGTGTGCGTCGCGAGCAGGATGTTGTGAATGTAATCGTGTTCAGGCGGAAGGCGAGACCTTGAACTTCGGACGCGACCTGTCGACAGGTAAGAGAGAGCGACAGCGATATAGGCGAGCCGTCATCAGCCTGCGTGAGTTTGTTGTGCTCAGCATCATAGATGTAGCCGTTTTCGACAGCATAATACTGCTCGTACATCATGTCGCGGAGCTCGCGAGGCAAGCGTAGGAAGGACATCCTGGTGGTATAGGCTGAGGGAGGAGAAGTCCTAGATCAAGAGCTGGGGACGGGGCGCTTTTTGCACGAATGTACCCAGGTCCGGGAGGCTACGTAGTTTGGTAGAGGCGCGCTTCCACACACAGCCTGCTCAGCCGCATACGCAGAGCTCAAGCAGGAGCTCTCTCAAAACGCGGGGAGCACGTAACCGTCAGGTCACATGATCGATTCCTCAACAGTCCTTCCGCTCAGCCAATGTGTGCGTCAATGGTACCCGTCCAGCAATCCCCATAATTGTGTCAGCACCGACCTGTTCATGCCAAATACTCGAATAGCATTAAAAAAGAAATACCGTTGTTGCCTGGAGAGTTCCATGGATCAGAGCGAGCTTCTCAATGTTGTTTGGTGCCCGGGTGGAGCCACTGGTAGCGCGCACGCAAGCCTCGGCTCGTCCCACCTTCCGTACATTTCCCCCAATCTCGCCACAGCAACCCGACGTATCAGAAAAACATGCAGGCATGCCGCAGTAACATCACATTAGTCAAGAGGATTGGCGAAGCAAAGGATTCTATTGATATTGATTGTAGATTACATGCTTGATGAATGCCTTGGTCCTAGGTTCGCAGTTGACACTGGGATGCCGCCCTTCATCACCGCTAATCATAACGTCTAGCTCATCTAATGACATGTCTACAACGGAGAAGATGCCAAGGTAGTAATGGTGGCTCAGTCTGAAACTCCCTCGGCTCGTGTAATTCCCATCTATATTCCCAGTCTTCTGGAGACCAACCCTCGTGATCCCTCAGAAGTTCCTCAACGTCGTATGGGCTTTCAACGGGAAAGTTGGTTCTGATGAGCGGATCGGTCATGGAGAGATGACCAACAGCTTCTGGTAATCCTTCGAACATGTAACCAGCAGTGAGTAGTCGCCGCTCGAGCCAGGAAGGTTGTGGTAAGTGTCCTAGGGCGTAGCATGTGTCGAGGGCGGTCTGCCATGCGACATCGCGTTGGACAATGCGGAAAGCGCGCGATGAAAGTTCTGGGCAAGGGTCGCCATCAAGAACGAGGGTGAAAGAGCCATGCGGCATGCCGAGTTCAGGCAGGCACATAGCCTCCTTGACCCATGCACCTACAGCCTTGGTAATCAGCTTAGCAGGACATTGATCATTGTCCATGTATCCGTCATCGAAATAGCTTTGATGGTTGTCTAAGTAGAAACTTAGCATAACTGACTGTACAGGAAGCACGTTCTTCCAGAGGCTGACGAATCGTTCGATCATAAGCTGAGGATGTTTCTGACAGATGGCAATGAAACCTCTGCCATGGCTCTCAGGGAACGATATCGATTCGCGATCTTCTAGCAAAAGGATCTTCCGTACATCCTCGCGTGTAGTCGTAGGTAGCGAATGCAGGAAGCGAAGAGCTATGGACGCTGCTGAATAAGCGTACTTTGTGCTAGGCCAAACGCAAGGAGCTTCGGAGCACACCCGTGTGAACTCTTGTAGCGTTGCGATCTCCACGTCGTCTAGGATTCGCCAGGGCTTCGGACCGGCTTTGTTGAGTAGATGACATTCGTTGTCATTGTCCGAATGCTTTGAATGTATCCTAGCCTTTTCGACGAATCCCGGGTGGTGAGAGACGAGATTCAGTGTAAAGGCCACAAAGTCACGCCAGACAGACGGCGCCTCACCGCATGTGAGGAACCGCATCGAATAAAAGCGGCCGTTGATCCGGCCATGCGACTGCCAGTGATCAATCACGTGCGTGAATTGCGGATACGCTTTCTTCGCAATCTGGGCCTGCTCTTCGCCGAGAAGTTCACGAGCCTCGGAGTTGAGTAGTGATTCCTTCCTAGAGCTTATAATCTTGTTGACTGCATGGAGCAGCCCGGCTTGTTCTTGCGTGGCATCCGAGTGGAAAGTCGTGAACCGAAGTGTGTTGATCCGCAGCGCAAGGCCATGTGTTTCGGCGGCGATCTGCCGGCAGCTCAGCACTAGAGACAACTCGATCGGTTGGTTGTCGGCTCGCCTAAGCTGGTTTGTTTCGAAAACGTGTGTATAGCCCCCATCACAGCTGAAGTAGTAGTCGTAGATATGGTTGCGCAGCTCGCGTGGCAGTAGGAGAAGAGCCGACATGTTGATGTAGGCGTCGGGTGGGTTCGTCTTCTGAATATACAGCCTCCGCTTTAATGACTGTTTTGGCGGTTAGCTGCGGGGTCCGCCAGGTCGCGTTTGAGCACTCACATTCTTTTTGCGGGCGATGGGGATACGTCTTCAATCCAGGCGAGGGCTTGAGTCTTGGTCCGGGCTGGTTGCAAAAGGTGTACTTTGTTATGTGAGATGCTCGCAGTAGATTTGAGGTATGCAGGCGAGGCCACTGAAGTACAACCCCTACAGCAGCGTACATGTGCGAAATAGACGCTGCCTGGGGGTGGAGGAAAGACAAAACCCTTGCGCCTGCACGAAATTCTCTGCTCCTCTACCTGTACCATGGTACTTCCAGCAGGCTGCTGTCTTGGCGATCTTGCAACAACGGTATGCCATTTCCACCTCATTTGTAGCCACCATCGACCTGGACATGATGCTCGTGGATAGTGTCTCTCAGCTCGAGTGGAAGGCGTAGCATTGCGGTGTGGCTGGGCTATCGTCGATGGGTTCGATATCAGATTCAGCGAGTCCGGGTTGCACATCAGACTGAAGGCGCGCCCAGTGGATCAGGCTGCGATGGTCAACCACACAGTGCGACGGCATGCAACCGTGGCTTCCCATTTGCACCCGGCTGCGACGATTTTCAAGGCCTCGATGTGGCCACGATGCGCCATTGTGAGTCGTCACGTGTAACTTGTATGGCTCCCTCGTCTAGGCGGCAGAAGTAGGCGCAGGTTTGTAGAAGGCGGGCGATGTCGAACGCAGGTGCTGGCGGGAAAGTACGCGTCTGGTGCGCGGTTGCGGTTGATGGAAACAGACGCGATGCGGTTCGCTGAGACGCGTGGATGACGTCAGCGCCGATGCTCTAATTCATCTTAGGCAGCCACATTCAACGCGCCGACCAAGAGTTTGACAAGGATATACGTCGACACTCAATGATGATCTGTATGCAACGAGAACATGTTGGTTCATTCAAGAAAGACCATTGAAGAGACCAGTTGGATGCACTACCGTACATCCATCGCAAGCACCGGTATGCAAATGTACGACTTCAGAACACAGCCCAAGCTAAGACAACGCCCAAGTCTGCGTCAAAGGCGTGCTCGATTCTTCGGTGCAAGGGCGCAAACTCGGTTTCGTCTTTGCAGTTCCTACCCACGTGACACCCCTCACCAGAGCATACCGGAGTAACCCCCAGGCTGCAGTCAACACCAGTCATAAACGATCGAGGTGGCCCGTCCGGAGTACCAGATTCGTGACCATGGTTCATTATGCTCGACGTGGCTTGAAGACACCCTTTCGTTTATAAGTAACACTTGCCCACCACATGTACATCTTCATCACAGCAACACCGTTCGACACATCCATCAGTCATCCCAACAAGACATGAGTACTGAAGTGCTACCACCTCTCGTCGGAAATCCGTCAGTTAAGTCTCCAGCGTCGAAAATGCCGCTTTCGAACCCCCAAGCAAACATGCAGCTCCAATCGCGTCTCTTTCGCCTACCTAGGGAACTTCGAGATCTCATCTACCACCATTACCTCTTCAACGAAGCGGGCCTCGCCTACAACTTCGACACGAATAAAGTTCCTGTCGATCTGTCGCTAATGTGCACATGCCGTGCGGCCGCGCTCGAGCTTCGAGGCCTTGCTTTGCGGCTCAACAAGATCGTCTTCCGCACATCGTATACGGATGCCACGCGAACGCATGCGAGCATGTTTCACAAAGCTCTCGCCACATTACACACACTGAAGCTAGATCTGCTCAATCGCGTCCTCCCGGACCTGTTGACTGATGCAGTGGAAACAGAGATATCTCTCAAATATCCAGAGTTCTCACCCGCCCTACCGGCGTGGAGGATGGGATTTGGAAACATGCACTTTCTGGGAGAGCCAGCCTCAACACATCGCGACTTCATCCATTTCGCCCTGAATCTCCTATTCAAACGTACACGCATCTCGACAGCAGCCAGGAGACATTTGAGACGCGACCACAAGAAGCTCCGAAAGTCGAACCCCGAACCTTGGCAAACGCCGAACGAAGGCACCCTCCGACGCGGCCGAGAGGGAATGTCTGGCCCTTCCACCGAGTACATACGCAACCTCAGGGTCATACCCTTTGATGGCGCTCTCCAGCAACTAGTCGACACAGCAAAAGTTGGACACATGCAGCCTGACGACAATGTGAACTACTCGTTCTCCGCAGCAGCGTGCGCAATACGTTTCTTCAGGTCTCTCCGTGTTGAGACGCTCGAACAGATGCGAGACATAGAACTCATCGAAGACCGAGAATCCATCTCTTTCCCAGAATGCCATGTCAGGGGTCTGATACCATTCTGTCGTGAGCACCCAAGAATGCGCGTTCATAGGCGTGTCAGTCTTTGGAGCAACGTGTTTCCCGTAACCAGTACCCTACCGTACAAGACAAGCCCTACGCACAGGCGTGTCAACAGGGTCAACCTGGAAAGGGATCGTCTTGCATCCCGCTACGTCTCAAGGGCGGTCGCGAAGTGGATGGCAGAAGCATCTGCATTACCCTCCCTAGGTATGCCCGAGGGCTCTTTCAAGCTGACCTTCGAATGCGACTCCGCCCCAGAGGAGACCACGCAAGTGTTTGACATCATACAGCGAGATGCCGCCTGGCAAACCGCCCTGGACCTGAGTTACGCCCGGAATCTTCTACCACAGCCAGACTGGCGCATGCGCAGACTCCGTAACGGATACATATACGAGACCTTCCCACAGCTATTGCAGCAAGTCACCGATGGCCAGTCTTTCATACGTTGCGACTTCAACCCTGGGGAGGTTCAGGACCCGGAGCAGATCATGAGGGAACTGAGTGGCTACTCAAAGGAGATGTGGGAGACTAAGTGGCACGGCCATACACCTGCCCGGTTTCAGACACTCGAGAACATGCCGCCCTGGCACCTACTACGCGATGGATTTACCATCTGGGATGGAGAAGGTAACCGTTGAGGTTGCGAATGAGATCTGGCTTGCGAACATTCCAGTAGAGCGGCATCGTGTCAGAACCATATCAGGATGGCATTATATAGTCTACAAATACTTTAATGGCCAACCTCATCTTCCTACTCAGCACCCCTCTACCCCCTCCACCACACCACTATCTCCTCCTCCCCCGTCCCCGGTTTCAGCTTTGGCTTGCTGAACATGCGCGCCGCCCCCACCTCACACAATGGGAAAACTGAACAGGTCTGCAGACTGCATTAACATGAGTACATGCAAAGTCGGTGTGTTAACATCGATGTAGACCCCCGGGTGCCTTTTCCTACGTTGACGTGCCTCTACTCCCATCATCCAGCCAACCTCCACTTCACTTGAGCCCATCACCTACTTCCTCCTCCCATGTTTCGCAATCAAACTCCTGCTCTCCCCACACAGCCAGATATGCGGCCCAGCCTCGCCGTCCTTGAGCCCATGCTCATTGATGATATGCTCAATCTGTTTTGCGCGCCCGCGGTTCGCGCTCAGGGTGGTGAGGCACGCGGCCCAGCCGTAGAGGAAGATGGATTTATTGAGGTGGCCGAGTTCGGCGGCGACGGCGGTGGCGGCGTGGGGTAGGTTGTCGGTTATGGTGGAGACGTTGGGGGATTTGACGGTTATTGGGAGGGTGAAGAGCGGGGGTGGGGGGTAGTCTGAGAGAGAGGCCTGGTTGGGTGTTAGCTGGGTATCGTGTGGGGTGGTGTGGGGTGATGTCATGGGAGAGTACGTACCCATTCTTCGACGAGCTGTTGCTGTGACCATGACGCGCAGTCTCCTTGTCGGAGTAGCAGGTCCGCTCTTGTCTTCTCCGTGTCAGTCGCAAGAGTCTGCACTATCAAGTTCATCTGCTCGGCTGCTTCGCGCGTGCACACCATCGGATGCGCGCCAATGGCAGAGTATAGATGGGTCGGTAGCAGGTGCTCTTGAGCCTCCTCTTCGATCTGGGCGCGCACTTCCCCTGGGTACCAGTCCAGTATCGGGCATGGTTTGTGAGAAATGTCGGATATGAGCGCTAGTAGAATAGTGCAGTCGATGTTTAATGTATCGCTCAAAGCCCGGGATCGATCGATAAGAAGGCGCGGTAGAACAGCGTCTATAGAGAGAGCGGGCGGGATGTCATCCCCGCACTGTACTATCGCACCCGTAGCGCGTATCTTATTGATAATCATATCGATGGCTGGTGTCTTCCCAGCAGAGATTCGTGTCAAGACGAAGCGTACCTTGGGCGGTCGACCGCGAATAGGATTTGCGCGCGCAGCTCTTGCAAGACCCCGGGCATTTCGTACCACGTCAATTTGGTCTTCATCGTCATCGTCATCTTCCGGTGGAGGCGGCATATCTTCATCGTCTTCAGAATCCGAGTCGTTCACCCAACCCAGTTTCGCGAGATCAAAGAGGATTCTCTTTTCCGAGACGGTTGATACCCGTATCCACTCTGCACCCTCTTCTGCAACGATATCAACAAGGGCAGAGGTCTTGTTCTTGGCTTGGCTTCCCTTCGCTAAGCTGACCCCCTTTGTTGTACTCTTTCCTGCTGGTGCTTTATGCCGGTCCCAGAAGAAGTATTTGCGGAAGCTTTGGATTCCCATTGAGCGCTTTGCTGCGCCCCAAAGTGCTTCATAGTAGAGAAGATTTGAAGATACAATGTAGTGCCGGGCTTTTTCCTCATCCATGGACGATCCCGCAATCTTCTGTAGGAAGGCTAGCTCGTTGCGCATGTCATTGCGAAGATTTCGGTATCTAGTACAGTTAGTTGTGGTCTGAGGCTGCGGATCTGATCACGAAGCAGCTCACCCCTTCTCAGACGGACCTCCCCTGGAGGTATACGCTATGTTGTGTACTGTCAATGTGAAAGCAGATCCACCGCGAACACCTCCAGGGTCATATGAGGTTTAATCTGGGAAGGCGGGGAGCCTTCGTTTAGATGACTATATCATTGTAATTGCATAGACGTACTCAACTGGATTGTAAACCTTCCCGACTTTTTGCTTCTCAAGAACTGCCGCAATATAGGTCTCGACCTCGTCGTTGAGATGGTTGCCACGCGCCACTAGCTCTTGAATGGTGGCTTCGAGTTCAGCCCTTGGGGTGGGCATTTTGCCCTCAACTGGCTCTTCCCCAAGACCAATTTGGCCGAGGCCTTTGGTGATGGACTCTGCCATGATCACCTCCGACCGGGATAAGCCTGGATAGGCCTGCGGACTACACTATGATGAAAACTAGCAAATCGGAAGATCGGGCGACAACGTAGGCTCCAGATCGTCAGCTTGTTCCTTGGATGGGGTGTGGTGGTGCCACTCTTGTGGCAAGTCTGGTCAGTTTGATAGTGCACGCAGGGCAGGTGAAGTACTGCACTCGCTTAGAATTTAGCGAATCCCTCCTCTTCCTATTCAGCTCCCAGCGTCCGAGAATTGCTCCTGGTGAGTAGTAGTCCGGGTGGTGGAGAGTTGATAGAATAGATTTCGATTTCTGAAGATGAAGTACGGGAGCCCTGACTCAAGCACTAGTCAAACCGTGGAAGGTTCTCGGGTGGTGGCGCAAGCAGCAAACTGCTGTTGCCTGATAGGTCGGTTCTGGTGTCAGCCCTTTTCTGCATCCTGGGTTCCTGTCGCGTGGTACCTGGGTAGAGTCGCGATTCTAGTCTGGCCCGACGATTCCCCGGCCGACCCCGCCAAAAGTTGCCCGCATACCGAACCCACGCACCGACCACCATCCTCATCTCTCTCACCCTCTCCCCCAGACACCACCAACCCACCATGCCGTACTTCGCAACGAGCCAGGAGTGGTACGAGCAGTCGTCGCTCCTGCTCAAAGCGCGACCGACATCCGTATGCCAAGCTCCACTGCACACGCACGCACGCGACCCGCCTTCTAATCTCGCTACTAGACACGCATCACGTCCAAGTACTCGGTCCTCAAGCCCACGGCCTCCAAGATAAAGAAGCGCCAGAAGTACGAGGAGAAGCGAGCATCGAAGCCTACAGATACCGCGCGCGCATCATCACCGCCGCCGCAATCGCAGAATCCCGAAGAAGTCACCGTGTTCTTCACGCTGAAGACGTACGACCCCGAGTCGGGGACGTGTCTACAGTATGAGACCAACAAGGGCGCCGAGGTCGGAAGATTGATTGGGAACTTGGGGAGGCTGGGAAGACACATGGCAGCGCTGCCGGAGACAACGGACGATCTGAGTATGCCGGCTGGCGGCGAGGCCACATCCACACCACAGGTCGACGAGGGTGGAGATGTGAAGATGGGCGGCGTCCCAGCGGCTGGTGCGGGAACAGGAGGCAAGAAGAAGAAGAAGGGCAAGAAATGAGTAGGATTACATCACAACCATACAACAATGCACGCGCCGGGCAGGACGCCCAAGGGAAACGAAGACATCGCGACGCACGTACACGACACCACGAGGCTCAGGGATATTGATTGTGGTTCAATGAATGATAAAGGGCCAAGGCATATATGGCGCACAGCCTGCGAAATGAAGATACCCAATTCCACTTCCAGCCTGCCTATCAGTGAACTTCTCGCACCCGCCGTCCATACTAAAACTTCCTAACAGCCGCACCAGCAGCCTCAGCGTACGAGACACCCTTCATACGCTCCATGCGCTCCTTCAGTTTCTCCTTACGCTTCTCAGCCTTGCGCTCCTCTTTCTCCTTCTCCATCCGCTCCTTGCGCTCCGCCTCCTGCTTTTGCTTCTCAGCTGCCGTCTTGCCGACGATTTCCCACTCGTACTTGTCCTGCTCGTGCAGCGCTTCGTCCTTGTCTACGACATCCCAGTTGTCCTCGCTATTGGCGCTTGACTCGGGTTCGTGTAGACCGGCGTTATTGGTTTGGTTGAGGAAGTCCTTGAGGTCTGGCGGCGGGCTTTGCACCGCGGTGGTGGGGATGCTGGAGGACATCGTGGTGATTTGATGAATAGTCTGCTTCGCCGAGGATATTATGGTTTGAATAAGTGAGCGAAGGGCTGAGGGAAAGTGTAAGATCTGAATGTGGTGAGCGTTCGACGATAGTGGTTTACTTGGGTATTAGAAATGGTTATGGTGCTTTACTGACAGGTTGCAGAAAGTATATATACTGGCCTGCCAGTCGTGGTCCCTTCAATTAACAACCTTCAATCGCGACTCAGAAGCTGCAGTGAATGCCGAATATACCACTGCGCAACCATCTGTGCGTCACATTCCGCCATTGAAAGGCGGCGAAATATATCCTTACGACCAAACCATGGTTCTCGCACGGTGGGCGCGCGCGCACGCGGGATCTTGACTACAGGAAGGATGAAGCTTCCTGGAATTGGCGGCATCACAACAATCCATGAATGCGATACGTTTTTTCAAGATTGACTGCGACACTGCAGGGCGGGCGCATTCATGCTGCCAGATTGACGTTGCTCACATCGATAGCAGCATGTGTTGTCACAACTCCGAAGGGCGCACCTGACCGAAGCGCACTCAAGAGTGCGTGGCCAATGTGCGATGCCGCGATACTAGATGGCGATTTCTTCTTCCTCGCCGGAATCGCATATCTCGGCTGATGTTGTCGGTTTGACGGGTACATGGGCTGTTCCTTCCGCTTTGGGTTAGGTCTGTGCTGCGGCGCAGCATCAACATTGATTAACAAGGGGGAGTCGCGATCTCTCAACCTTTTTTTTACAGACTCATCGTCTTCCCTTCTTAACACCAGCCACGCAAATGTAGCCAGACGACATGGGCGCCTTTTACGAGGGTGAAACATATGGGCCTCCCCCGGGTGCCGGGTTTCCTTGTTACTACCAACTCATCTGTCCGGAGCTCGATCAACACTATACACTTCACATGTACGAACACGACACCCCAAGATTATTTGACCGGAAAGACGAGTACTGGTTTCACAACATGTTTGTGAAGCGAGACGTGGAACGTGTCCAGCACTTCTATCCACCCAGTGGAGACCTCTTCGAGCGCCTGCCAAATGAAATTATTGACCAGATCTTCGATTATATCCTGCTTCGCGTAGAGGTTGACTGGGAATCACTCGGCTACGAACGCTGGAATAGGCGCCCCTCAGTGCAAGAGTTCAATCGGGAAGACTTCCTTGCACTATGCCTCTCGTCCGCTCGTTTATGGCCACTCGCCTTGGCCCGTATACATCGGTCCTATCAGAAAGCCAACTGGGTAGGCAAAAGGGTTGGGTTCCACTTCGAGCGGTCGAAGCTCACCGCGGAACAAATGCGGAACTATGGTATCGAAGACACTCCTGCCATGATCAATGGACGTCAGCAAATGAGGTCGCAGCAGAATGTTGGAGATCAGGGATGGGACAGGACATGGAACCATTTCAGGTGTCGGCCAGAGAATGATTGGTGCTCTCTCATGCGCCCCATGCGTGGATACACAGCCGGTCGAGGATTGAAGATGGCAAAGTATGAGCTGACGTTAAGACCGGGGGATCGGGACAAGATCGAGCGAGATCTTGGTCGGGCCAATCTACCGGTCACAGGAAGAGATTGGGTGCTTCGCAACATCACGACTAGACAATACGTACGCTCGGATCAGTTGGACGAGCCACCCTCTCCAGCACCAGATTGGGACTCACTACCCAAGTTCCACGAGCCAGTACTTTCCAAGATGCAACGCATCTACCGCGAGCTGTCGCAACAAGTGAGAAGAGTTCCGAAGAACAAATCGCGACCACTACCGGAGAGCGACCAAGCGCTTACATTGGCGAACATATTCTTGGTTCTCACATGTAGCAACCCAGATTGTCCTTCCCCGGGACAGGCCTTCGACTTCTCAAATGGCCCATGGGCTGGGTGCGCATTTGAAGTCTTTTCACTGGACGACCACCTGCAGTCTCAGCAACGAGAGTTAAAGTCAGGAGAACAACCAGGCAAGGCATGGGTGAACGTCAGTAAAGAAGTAGTTGCAGATGTCGCCAACTTGCGTTTTTGTATCCGCAGGTTGCAGGAGATGAGGCATCAGGGTCACGAGCGGTATTTCCGCAGCCACGACCCAGCAGTCAACAAAGCATACTGGGACAACTTCTGGAACAAGGTCGAGATGACAAGAAAGCTGCATCGGCAGTGGGTGAAGACATGTCCACCTAGACCTTGGATAGATGAGAGCATGTATGCGGAAACGTAGGTAGTCGAAGTGACCGGAACAATCCCACCTTCACTTTCACCTCGCTACAATACAATACAATAGGAAAGAGATGCTTCTACTTAACCCTGTCGTCGTCTCTAAAGCTATTGTACACCTCTATTCTACCAGTTCTATTATACCTCCTGTCATCCTCTAAGGTATCCAAACCTCGCCATCTCCTCTTCAAAACCACCCCCAGACACCTACATCCTTCTCCACCCCATCATATCTTGCTTCCCAAAAGCCTTGACATCCTCCTCGCACCCCCAAAACGTACCTCTCCACCACACAAAAGTAGCTGGACTACTTCCGCGCCTCGCTCACTCCCCCACAATGAGCCCCCACTCCCACCTCTGTCGCCGCCTAACATGGCACCTCTGCCGCGCGCGCCGCCAGCTCGAACGCCGAGCAAATGGCCCACCAGCCATGCGAACGCGAAGCCACCTTGCCACCCCATCTTCACCATCCCAAGTCACCCCCTTAACACCAAACCCCCCTGCCTCCAAAACCGGCACCCTCACCAAAAAGCCCCCCACCAAGAAACAACTCCTCGCAAGCTCAAAGCGGCTCGGCAGAAAAAGACTGGCGCTAAAGCGGGTGTTGGAGAAGAAGAAGAGAGACATGGAGGAGAAGGGGAAGAGGACGTTTGGCATGGGGCAAAGGATTAGGCTGTTGAGTGTGCTTGGGCCGAAGGGGGAGTTGGAAGAAGGGAGGAGGTTGGTTCCTGTTCAGCGGAAGATTGCGACTGTGGAGGAGATAAGGGTGAAGAGGGAGGGGAAGAGGGTGGGGAGGAGTCCGTTGGGGGAGATGTGGTGAGGGGGGGTGGGTGGAGGGAGGGTGTTGGGGGGATGTCGACTTCAGGGTATTATTTGGCATGTGTAGAGGACAGCCTGCTGGCAGGTTGTCTTCTTCAAGCGTTCATTTGGTTCGACGATGGAAGCGCTGGTCACTCCATGTATCCCTCAAACGTACATGTACTCCGACGATAGAAGCGCTGGTCACTTCGCGTCATCTCCCGGCTCCCTCCCATCTACAAGTTCAGCAACACACTCGCCAACCCCATTCCAACACCCCACGCCGCACCAACACCCAGACCCCGCTTCTGCGCCTTACCCTGATACTCCGGCATACCGGCCCCAGCACCAAAGTCATACTCGAAGCTTCCATTGAGCGCAACAGGGCCCTGAACACTTCTTCCAGTACCAAGAATAGTAATATTCTTAACCACACACTCTGTCTCGTATCCAAAGTCACCGTCCATGCTGAACTTGCCGTTGTCGTAGGAGAACGTGATCATGGACGTAGACGGCTGCTCGATGCTATCACCGTCGTCGAGGTACAGAGACCCACTAGCCTGGTTCGTAGCATTCGGCGCGATCCACAAGACAAAGTCCTGCTTCCGCAGCTCGGTGGTCGTGTTTGCGGATTCAGCGCGCAGAGGGATGATGGAGCCGCCGCGGACGTGGAGGGGGATGGAGTCGAAACCGATGTCGGTGAGGTCGATCATGCTTCCGTTTCCTTGGATGCGGTCGCCGGTCCAGTAGTCGTAGAAGACTTCGTTGGGGAGGTAGATGGATACACTGGTGGAGTTTTCTTCCAGAACGGGCGACACGAGGATGGCGTCGCCGTAGAAGAACTGGTATTCGAGGGCGAAGGTGTTGGGGTCGGTGGGGTAGTGGAACCATAGCGGGTTTAAGCTGGGTTCTCCGGTGGTGGTCTGGCGGTGGAAGGCCGTGTAGAAGTAGTCGAGTAGACGGTAGCGGACGGCGATGGCGTTCTTGGCTGCGGCGGTGGTCAAGGGCCAGCGGTAGTACTCTTGGTCGATTGATGTGTCGCCAGCGTGGTTCCTCATAAAGGGGTAGAAGGCACCGAGGGTTGCCCAGCGTGCGCAGAGTGTCTCGGTGGTGTTGCCGGCGAAACCGCAGATGTCAGGTCCGACCATGGGGATCTGGAAGATGGAGTTGAAGTTCAAGATGCCGGCAATGGAGAAGCGGTATTGCGTCCATTCGGAGACGTTGTCACCGAGCCACTTTCCGAGATAAGTACCAAGACCGACGAACTAGTCATTTTGTTAGCTGCGGTGTGATATGATGACAGGTGAAGACTTACGGTAGAGCGAGTGATGATCAACGGACGACGTTCAGGACGGCGCGCAAGCATGCTCTTGTGCGAAGCGATCGACATCATCGAGCCCCAGAAGTTGTGGGTATCATAGTGGTATGTTCCGTCGTAGTTCTGGATATCGGTGTCGAGAGTCTTGTTGCTGATGGAGCCAGCAGCGTTGGCAATCTGGTACTCAGGGTTGATCAGGTCACGGCCGGGAAGACCGGGGTGCGCGGCAAGGTCTTCGGTGTTGTTTGAGGCTTGACGCTTAGAGTTGGAGCGCTTGCTGAGGGGAGAGCTTGAGCGAGTCTTCAGCGTGGAATTGGACTGAGGCTGAAATCCTGCTGGGAAGCCCGGGATCTGACGGCCATCGGCGGAGGTGCGGACTGGCGGTGGCTCAGGTGGGTTCTTGGACTCCTCTGAGTAGGCTACAGGGTCCTCGCAAGGGTACGGGCAGAAGTTGGCAGGCTCATTCATGTCGTTCCACAGACCGTCAATGTCAACACCAGTCGCCGGGTCGAAGAACTCGGCAAATTTCTGGTCCCAGTACTGCTGGGTGTTGGGGTGGAACCAGTCGGGGAAGACAGTTGGGCCGGGCCAGACGGCGCCTTCGAAGAAAGAGCCGTTCTCGCGCTTCTGGAAGACATCGAGCTCGGCACCGTCGTTGTAGCCATCATAGTCGCCACTCCAGACGGCGGAGTTGACCATCATGATGTAGTGCTGCTGGTGGGCATGGAGGTAGTCAACCACCTCGCGGACGAGTTCAAGAGGGTAACGCTCTGGGTCCAGAGTGAACAAGCGACGGAGCTCCATGTAGTCGATGTCGGTCCACATGGTCTGGGTATGTTAGCGAGGGTTTATGAACACTATGTCGGAAATTAAAATTCACCTCGAGGGGAATGTCGGCAGCGGAGTAGTTGGCAACTACTTCAGCAACTTGCCAGACATCACGGTAACCGTACTTGCATTGATGAGAACCGAAACCCCAGTACGGCATCATAGCGGGAAGACCAGAGAGAGCAGAGTACTGGACTGCAACTTCTTTCGGTCCAGGACCAGCGAGGAAATAGAAGTCAAGAACACCACCTAGAGTGTTGTACTCAAGGAACTGGCCCTCGGAGTCGTCGATCTTGATGTCCATACCCTGGGAGCTGGCCAAGAAGACACCGTGAGTGCCGTTCTCGCCGCGGTGGTCAAAGTAGATGGGGTGGGCTCCGTAGAGGTTGGAACCCTCTGGGGTACCGTAGGCATCACGGTTCCAGAGAGTGCGGGTGTAGTTGGTGGTGTTCAGATGGAAATGGTCTGTTGATTCACCAAGACCGTATAGGTTGGGCGAAGGAGGCAGAGCAGTCCTCAGACGAAGGTACTGCGACTCAAAGACGAGTGATGCAGCGGAGGTGTCGAAGAGAGTCTCGTTGGTCTCCTTGCGCTTGATGGCGAACGAGAACGGGCTGTCGGTCCATGTGAATGACAGGGCAGAGTCCTCGGGGCTGACACCCTCGTCATCGGAAGGACGAGGCCAGACAGACTCTTGGATCTGGAAGACTTGCTCTTCAGCATCGAAGATCTTCACGTGGAGGCGTTCGGCTGTAAGATTGGTTAGCACCAATAATGATTGTAATGGTTGGAGAACGCACCCGTCTGGTACTCGACTTCAAGCTTGAGGTCAGTCAAGTCGTCGCCGTAGACATTGCAAGCGGTGCCCGCAAGCGTAAGGTCCGCGGTGACCTTGGAGCCATTATCCTGAAGGTTGCTGGCAGTGTACCCAGGGCAAGCTTCAAGTGATGAGCTTTGGCGTTGAACCAGCGAACTTGCAAACGCAGGTACCGCCACCCCAAGAGCGAAAAGGCCTTTGGTGATCATGGTGCCTGAAGGTATTGAGAAAGCCAGGACCGTGTTGGATGCTGATCTTTCCAAGGGAACCTTCGCCTTCTTATACTCGAGGGCGTGCAGCCGTGTGTACTAGTCTGATGCACTACAACAACAAAGCACGCATCGTGATCTCGGTTCAGACTTACCGTTTGCATGGCTAGGATAGGCGGATATGCACCCAAGGCGCGCTCCCCCGCAGTACCGTCATCATGGAGGTCGGACTTGCATGGCTTGGCAACAATGCGAGGGCCAGAGAGGCAACATAGCGGGGTCATTGGTTCCGCAGATTCACGCTGTGGAGAGCTTGTTTACCCGGAGAGAATCCCGTTTGGGGTTCGGCTGGCATGGAGGACATACGAGGCGCAAAACTCTGGGGTAAACGATCAGGTTTGTTTACGCGCGTGCGAGGCGCGACGCACGGCGGCTACGCTGATTCGATGGAAGTCGGGAGTGCGAGATGCCGGTCCGAGTTCTGGTGCCGGCGTGCCTTCGCGCTTCCATCGCCAAGCAGACGGCTGAAGAAAGCCAAGACAAGGCTTTATTTGGTGACATGTCCTGAGTCCAGAATTCAGGCGTCGAGTTCCATGATATGTTCTACATCTTTTTCCAGGGTTGAACAGCGCTTGTAACACCGACCTTGTTGGCTAGCGGATGAGCTTGTACCGGGCGAGCATGTCGGACCGGGCGTGTGGTCTCCGCTACTGCATTGTTAAGTTTAATCGGGAAGGACCACACGAGCAGATAGAGTTGTAGCATATCGCATGAAAGATACCTGGAATGCTTCATTGGGTTATGTAAAAGGGCGGGAACAGCAGGCCGCATTTCTCGAGCCATACGTCTGATCCGTCCTGTAAGAGCGACTCGTTCTAGACACCAGGCGGCAACACGGAGCACGAGAACCTCTTGTACGCGAGATCAGCTTCCAAGGACTATACCACAACCTGTACTTGAAGATGTAGATACCACTGTGGATTGTCACATACAAACGCAAAAGCTTGGCCATGGAGACTTCCAACGTGTGTTTT